CCCCCCTACAGAGATGAGTACACAGTTACAGGTTTTAGGAAATTAGCATAATTGATGAAAGCACCAATTAGGAGGACAAGTGGTGATGCAATCCCCCCAGGTCAAGCCCCTTCTCTGGAGCCCCCTGGGCACTGGCTGTGCTCTGTCCATGAAATACATCTCCAAGAGCTGCTCTCAGCCTTGGTTCCCAGGAAGAACCAAGACAGCACAGGGGCCTTGCACTTCCCAGGGCTTGGAGCTCTGGAATTTGTTTTTTATTTCTGCCCAGGGAAAGGCCATGGAAAAGTACTGGGAAAACTTGTCACTAATTCAATAGGTGATAGAGCCACAGGTGTACGTGCGAAGGGTACAGAGAACACAGAAAAGAAAAAAAGGCAAAACCCAAAGTGGCATGGACAGCCTCATCCTCCCATAGCACCTGCCCCCCGTCCCTGGTTTGTCATGAGGTGTCAGACACGTTCCTGTTCTGAGATGGGAATGAGGGAATTCTCCCTTCTCTCAGGTGACAACAACAAGCGTGTCCCTGCAGATCTCTGCTCGGGAATGACACCAAATAATAAGTGTTTGGGCAACAAGAACTCTACGTACAACGGGCCAGAATCCTTCCATTCCCTGTCTGGAGGGCTGAACACAGCAATAAAGCCCAGGAGTCGCAGCCAAAGCTCCAGCTCCAAGGCACTGGGGTGGGCTTGCCTGCACTGAGTGTGCCTGACCCAGGGAGAAAGGCTGGATCAGCCGGGGATGGCCAAGGTAGAGCAGGGCAGTCAATGCTGGGGAAGGCAACCCCACACGGGCCAGAAAACCCTATTTGCAAATAAAACCTCTGGATTCTGTCCCCTCCTGCTGTCCACGCCTCTCCTCTGTTCCTGCCACATCCTGGCGGGGTCCCTGGGCAGCAGCTGAGGCCTGCAGGACATTTCCCATGGATGAGGAGCCCGCTGCCTCCTTCCAGAGCGCTTCTGGGGTTCAGAACGTCACTCCTGGTGCTTGTGCAGAGCAGAGCCCATGGGGCAGCACCTCTGACAGCTTTTGCAGCAGCAGCAGCCATCGCTGAGTGCATTGCAAGCGATTAATTTTCTAAAAAAAATAAAAATAAACCTAGTGAGTGCAATGTGCTAACAAGTTAAAAATAATAATAGGTGTCTGTGAGCATGCTGCTCCTGTCGGAATCCTTCACGGGGATTCAGCTGCTAAGAACAACTTACACAGTTTGCCATGTTCCCATGTGTTAAACAACAACCAAATCACTACAGGCAAAGTCTCAGCTGTCAAGCATGAAGAGTGTAGGGGCTGCTTGGGGGAGTATTTCTCTCCTATGTTATATCTGCATATTGGATAATTTAAAAGATAAATTAAATGAGGCAAGGGGAGAGTGGGAAGCATGTTACAGACTCTTCAAAACACCATCCCCAAAAGTTTACAGGGAAAATTCCATTTGACTGGTCCTTCTGTGCTTTATATAGAGCTCTGACAGAAGAACTTTTCCAAGGGGAATGCACTTGCAGCTCTTTCAGAAAGGCTGAACTTTGCTCACCTACCCAGACAGAATTTCTCTCTGGGCAGGTCTCAGACACAAAGGGAGGAACTGGAAGTGTTGGAAGCAGCATCCATGACTGCTGACTCTTCCACACAAACAGCATTTGAGTGTTTTCCATGAGAGCTTTTCCTTTCAAACTGCCTCTAATCAATCTTGACTCACAGGAACGAGGCAAGCGATGCCATCTTTCTTTCTTCACACAAAAATAAAGACTGGAAAAGTTACTTAGGTTTTTAGCAGAAGTAAGTTGATTTGTTTGACTTTGCTTTATTTCCAAGAACTCAGTATTCAGCCCTAAGTCTTAGCCCTGTGTTTAAAAAAAAAAAAAAAAAAAAAAAAGAGCTCAGTGTTTCATTTTTAGCAAGCAGTTTTGCAAGCAAAGGGTGCTGAGAACAAGACAGTCGTGACAATTAGGAGAGGAGGAGAGGGCACCTTACCTGCATTTCTCCAAATGCAGACTTTTCCCAAGGGAAGGTAATACTGTTTTGCCATTTTGAAAGTTTGTCTCTGTGTATGGAGTGCACAAACAATAAATACAAAACACAAAGGATTACTTCTAAGATTTCAAGTAGACAATAGGCACAATTTCAAGTAGATACACAGGCAATAGTGTAAGCAGTGCTGTGCTGTGCCCTGTGATTTAGGCAGGCTTTTGGGTGTGGTGGAGGTTTTACTGTCTCTGAAGATATTGATTCATGAACTGAATATTCTCTTTGTGGACCTTAGTGCAACACTCTTAAAGCTCATGAAGCATCACAGAACTCTGTCAAATCAATATTTCATGTTTTATTAATCCCCTACTTAGCCAGTTCCCTGATTGGTTAAATGTAGTGTCTGGAAACCTCCTAATCGTATTTTACCTGAAAAGGCTCAAAATGCTAATTTAGTCTGATGGATAAACACATGCTTAGAAAATTATTGGGGGAAAATGTAAATACTGGGGGAAAAAAGTAAAAAAATTATAAGGGATGAGCAGAACCAAAACACTGTGGGGAAAAGCTGTACAAGTACACGTCCGTGCTGCTAACTAGTTATGATATTTTGTGCAAAGGATGGTATTCATGTCATAATTAATTCTCTCAGAATGTGCCTAGCTCTGCATATCTACAGCAATGGAACCTTCTGTTACTCTATTAATGGACATTAATTAATGATTGTTAATGGACATTAATTGCTGATGGTCACACGATACAGCTTCAGTCTCTTCCCCAGCTCACCAAAATGAGTGTTACATAGGGAGTAAACTGTGTCAGAACTGAAATCAGTGAGCGTCTAAAATATCCCACCCTGTGCTTCTAGCACATGCTCTGCTTCTAGGAGGTGATTGTAGACAGTCTGATTTATTCTTATTTTTACAGGACCTTTCTGTATGTACATAAAATGTGTAAATAGTAATAATGTATTATTGACATTGATGCAACACAGAAGCTAAGAAACCAAGTACACAAAAATCTGCAAAATCCAACTGTTGCAGAAGTATTACATAATACACTACAGCACAAAAGGGGTTTAATTTCACTTTCAGTGTGGCATCACCCATAGAGTTCCATCTGGAATTTCTCACAGAGGAAACAAAACACATCAGTGGTAGATGTGGTCGGCCCAATGAACTGTGCTGGAGATGAGGCAGGTTCCAGAAAGCTCCTCTGGGCCCATATAAAGGTGTCAGCTTCCCTGGATCAGCTGCTCTGCAGACAGAGCTCCCCCAGGCAGGGCTGCAGGGCATCTCCGGGGGCATTCCCACAGGAACCAGCTCCAGCTCCAGGCACTGAGCTCCCCCTGCCTCTGCCCCACTGAAACCCTCTTCAGGGCTCCTACAAGCACAGATCAGGATACTTCTTCTCCTTGTCTTAAATTAGCTCCTGAAGTTGAGGCATTTTAAGAACTCAGCTGCCAGAAACTCTCAACTTTCTTTGGGTTTGTTTTGAGGATTTTTTTAATCCCTGTGCAAATTTTCAGCATTTGTGGAATTTTGCATTAAATTTTAACAAAGTAAAGGCATAGAAGACAAATCATAAGATCAGTAAATCTTCCCTTTACTTATTTCTGAGTTGAAGATTTAGACCTTAATACATTTTCCAGCAATTTTAAAAATAATATTCCTATTTAAAAAAAAAAAAAGGCGAGGAAGGGAAGGACTTCAAGTTTTTTTACCTTTGGTCACTTCAGTTATTGTCTCTGTAGAACCATCTGTACATTATCTTGTCTGATTAAAGCCACAACATAAAACTTAGATTAAATTAATTTGCTTTTAGTACTTACATTAAGTTCCAATAAAGTTTGACTGCACATTCTCCATTCTAACATGTTCTGAATGTGCTTATCTGCACAACTGAAATCCATGTTTTTCTCCACAACTATGTATAAAATAGATTTACAACAAAAACTGACATGTTTCAGAGGAATTGCAAAATCATTTTCAGGGCAGGATTGATACTAATTATGATTTATTTTGATTTAGTTTACATTTGCTAAACTTGCTCTTAAACCAAAACAAAAAAAAAAAAAAAGGTGAGGAAGGGAAGGACTTCAAGTTTTTTTACCTTTGGTCACTTCAGTTATTGTCTCTGTAGAACCATCTGTACATTATCTTGTCTGATTAAAGCCACAACATAAAACTTAGATTAAATTAATTTGCTTTTAGTACTTACATTAAGTTCCAATAAAGTTTGACTGCACATTCTCCATTCTAACATGTTCTGAATGTGCTTATCTGCACAACTGAAATCCATGGTTTTCTCCACAACTATGTATAAAATAGATTTACAATAAAAACTGACATGTTTCAGAGGAATTGCAAAATCATTTTCAGGGCAGGATTGATACTAATTATGATTTATTTTGATTTAGTTTACATTTGCTAAACTTGCTCTTAAACCAAAACAAAAAAAAAAAAAAAAAAAAAAGAAAGTGCAGTTGGTATAAGTACAGTTATTGGTATATGGCAGCTATATTGAAAATCAAACTAAGCCAAAATATTTTGAACAGGACTATTCTCTTTCCTGCCCTATCTACCATTTGTTTCACATTCAAGACTTCCATAAGCTTTAAGTGGGAGTTCTGGATGGGTCAGCTCTGTAAGACTCAAATTCATAGGGAAAAGTGACACGTAGAAAGGAGCTAAAAACCAATTCACCTTGAAAACTTTAACAGTGTTGTACAATTTGCCAAGGTGTTCAATGTATTTCAAAGGTATCCCATAATAGCCAGCAGTTCTCTACAAAGGTCACTGTAAAATCATATCCTGTATTACTCCATATTTCTGAAATAGTTCCTTGTCTGCCAGCTGTTCAAGTGAACTTTGCCAATGCAAGCAAAGTTTCCAGGGTTATCACTCTGCCCCTTCAACTGCATTATCTACAGAGCCATAAACCTGAGTGGAAAAAAAAGATCTGGGAAGGTTTATAAAAGATTCCCTGAGCAGAGCTTGTGTCCAGCCTCTCCTCCTGACGGAAGCTGGGTTCAGGCTCCCGCCACCATGCCTGACTACAATGGGACCTGGGAAATGGTGACCAATGACAACTTTGAAGGCTACATGGTTGCTTTAGGTAAATGACAAAATATTAATTATATCAAGAGAAAAGGGTTCAATTCTAAGCCAAATCGTCCTAAAAATTAATGTACATTGTGGCATAAGGTTTTCTGCCAATCACGTTACAAATCAAGTCATTGTTTTCAAAATTGCAATGATCACAATATAAAAGCAAATGAAGACGTGTAGCCAAAGATGTTATTCTTTATTTAGATGAATGAAATAACAGATACAGGTGAGGGGGAAAAGCCTCAAGCCAACAGGTTTTCAGATCTAAAAGATCTTTTTTACTCCTGGTATATTCTTACTGTAGTGCAGCCACAAGTTGGTTAAAGAGCAATAAGATGTTCTATAGCAGTAAATTAACAATAATGCCATTATTTAATTAGTGCTTTGAACTAATCATGGTACAGAGATGAAAAATTTGATGCTTTAACTGATTTTCTACTAGTTTTACCAAAGAATCTTAATCCTAATTGATTGGTCTGTTCAGATTGAATTAGAAGAAATACATAAATGCATAAAAATAAACTCTCATCATTCTTCATCAACAATTGAAAGCAGTTGCAATTTTCTCAAAGCTTTAACTCTCTTAAGAGAGAAAGGCAAGTTTCACTATTCATGGTTTTTAGCTTTTGCATTTGTGGAAAAAAAAACTCAATGACTTCAGGGACATCTGTAAGTAATATGCATATACACTTGTGAGGGACAAAACGAGAGAGTGCTTGAAAATGAGAATGATTAGGACAATGTCTTGAATTTCAGGAGAAAGATACACATTAATTGAAGTGATTTTTGTGCATATGTGCATATATAAACTATAACTTATATCTACACAATCAGCTTTAGTAATTTTAAATTGCCAGTGGATAAGCAAAAACAACCCAACACCAAAACCACTGCAAAGATGCATATGCTGTAGGTGATTCTCAGAAATAAATGGTAGGGAAAGGGTTAAAAGATATTCTTCGTCTCTTTTTCTCTCCATTTTACATTTTGTTGCTATTTTAAGTATTAATGTGCTCAGATTCAAAGCACATAGGTTTTGATGGGTGGTTTTAATTCATCTGTCCTTTTAATTAATACATACACATTTCTATACTTTAATTAAAGATTATGTTTGCCCTCTAAGTTAGAAAGTTTGATTTTATCATAAACATGTTAAAAAGTATTTAAATATACTATAATAGAACTACATATCATTTTTATTGCTTGTATTGTTCAAAATGCAGTTATGAAAACCATGCTTTAATAAAACCTCCCTGATTTTTCTCCAGGAGCTACAAGACCAATGTATTAGTCAGAAATAGCATTTCTTTAGAGGTCTAGACATTTTTCCCCTCAGAGAGAACTAAATTTTATGTTGCCTGGCTATAAATCAGCCCCGGAATAGCTTTAATCCACCACAGCAGATAAAATATACCCAAGAAGACTTGAATATAAATACTGAACAAGACCATTATCCCCATGTTTAAAAGTCACATTTTTTTCAAGCCTATCCTCTTACTCAACTCGATTAGTACTTCCCAAGTAGGATAATGAATCCAGCAGAAGGAAAGGGCCCCGTTAGTGAGTGGCAGTGCTGGGCTGGCAGTGATTAACACCCGCGTGAAGCCGCCAGAGGAGGGCCAGCAAACCAAACCCATCTTTCGGTCTCTTGCAGAAGCATGGGAGGCGATCTCATTCGCATACAGCACCACAATAAGATCCCCTGGCAGCTGGTCAGAAATGTTTAGTGCAGACAGGGATGCTGCTGGCACTGGGGCAGCCTGCGATGGTGTCAGGGATGTTCTTCCTGTGGTGACAGCAGCGCTTCCAGAGCCAAGCAGCTGTGTGCACCTCCTTGTGAACAAATAAGGGTGTCAAGGACATCAGCACTGCAGCAAATGTTGACAGAATATGCAACAGAAACTGTCAAATGCTCTGCACAAATGCCCTTCTTTGACTTTTCACTTTGAATGTGAATTTCTCCTTTTGAACTGCAATTTATTTGCGTGCCTGCTATCGAACAATAATGGATTTCGCTTTTTATTTCATTGCTTCTTTTTTCATTAATATAAGTTTCATTCTTTTAAGCTAATTAATTAGCCTCTTGTATACTCCCAGACTATAGGTTCATCATAAAAGTAATATGCCCAGGTCCTCTCGATTACATACCCAGTCTAACATGTTAAATCTCTGATAAGGAATGTTATTCTAAGATCCTTCTTTAGTGAGGCAAAAAAGACACTGTCAGGCTTAATAGCCCCTCTTGTTTCACATTCTCAAAAAAATTCAGGTGATTAAACACACCAGCATCTATTCACTCCTGGTTGTATGTTGTATGCTCACAACATTCCCACGGATATCCCGTTAATAAATAAATGTATTATCGGTGGAAGAGCCTCAAGTTGAAAGTGTACTTGTAAACACAAGATGATTTTTCTTTGAAATGATCTTTTTCTCTGAAAAATGTTGCACGTAAAAACACCATTTGTGGAACTATGTTTGACTCTATTTTTTAATGTGTAAATATAAATGTCGTGGGGCTTTATTTTCGTTAGCAAATACTGGAATTTTCACTCTCTTTTCTGGTTTTTGACAGGTATTGATTTTGCAACTCGTAAGATTGCAAAACACTTGAAACAAACAAAGGAGATTGTTCAAAATGGAGACAATTTTAAAACCAAAACACTCAGTACTTTCAGAAACTATGATTTGGATTACACTGTGGGGGTGGAGTTTGAGGAGCACACCAAAGGACTGGATAACCGATCAGTAAAGGTAAAACCTGGGGCTGGTGTTCATACCACAGGCAGCACCAGGAGCCTGCAGCTCCCAAAATCAGCTGAATACATTAAGTAAAACCCCAATATTTTACAGACATCAGAGGATTTTTATGAAGCAGAAGTAATTTGCATCCCGAGACAGTTTTCTTTCCTGCTACAGGCATTTATTAGAAATGCAAATCAGGATGGCTACTGAGATGCACGAGGACAATTGTTAATTAGGTTTTTCTAGTAGGGGATTTTTCCAGCTTTTCTGATACACTTTATGTATCTAGAAAGTAGCAAAATTGTATTTTTACCTATGCATCTTCCTTAAGGAAACAGGGGGTTGACCCCTGTGAATTTAGGACTGCATCAATAGAACTTTTCACTTTGGGATGGCTGGGTTTGCACTGATCAGTCTCAGCTGGGCAGTTTAACAGTTGGGCATTGTCAAAAACAAACCTGCACTCAGCTTTTACTCTTAGGGGAGGTTTGGGAAGGGGCAAGGAAAAGGTGTGAGCCAAAGGCTGGAGCATGGCAGGGCAGGAGGGCAGGGAGGCAGCAATGTGTGCTTTACTGCCCTGGGGTAATTGGAGGAGGCTGAGCTCAGAACTGCCCCAGGAAGCCGTGCCCATTTGTTCAGACACCTCTCAGGGGATTTGTGGGCAGCACCTGTGTTAAGGCCATGTTGTAGCCCCTGCCCTACCCTCCTGAGGCAGTCTCAGTTCCTGGGGGATTCAAACAAGGCTCTCTCAGAGAAGTCAGGGAAGAAACCAATACACACGAGCACCGATTCACTCCCTGAATTCAGCTTCATGTTTCTGTATCAATGCTGCCTCTGTTTTACTTTCTTCTCACCCTAAAAGCTTAAGCAACACTTTCAGATGTAGAAAGGCCAGTAGATCTTACATTTCCATTGGCTGTCCCTGTCGGAGCCTTGCTAATCCAGCATCCCCTCCTCCCTTGGTCATCATTCACTGAATCTCCATTACCAGCTCTGCTGATTTCCACACCTCTATCTCCACACCTCTCTTCTGTCACTCAGCTCCCAGCTGCCAAACTCTGAGAAGCTGAGATCAAAACTCTCTGTCAACAAGACCTGTTTGTTTTGGCAATTGCCATAGGAAAAGTGGCAGCATAAAGGACGTATTTACATTTGAACTCACATCATCCTTTACTGGAGGGGCACAAATTTAGCAGAAGACATGGTTTGTTCACCATGGATCACTTTTGATTCTCAAACTAACTTTGTGCAGTGTAACTCCTACGATTTCTTCCAAATTATTTCTCATTCACAGCCCTGCAAGCTGTCAAAGAGTAAGACCCATTTTTTTCACCATCCTGAACATCCCTATATCGAAATTTTCTTTCTGTCTCCTTCTCCAGTGGGCACTGAGTGGAACTAATTCCTGTAACAAAGTCTATGCTTAAAAACACTGCTCCCACATCTCTTCAGATCAGTTGAAGGCATTGCTAAGGATCTAAGGATTCCTTAGTTTCATCACTCCTTAAATCCATCAATTAGTGCTCCTCTAGTGCTCATCACCACTACAAAAGCCTTGCTCTGCAAAGAGGGAGGGAGGGAGGGAGGGAGGAAGGAAGGAAGGAAGGAAGGAAGGAAGGAAGGAATTGTTTATTTATAACCCTACCTGATTTAATTACTTTTGCCTAATATTAATTTCTAAACAAATCATGTTATTTGTTTCTAGAGGGGATAAGGAAAAAGAACACATGTCATGCCATTACTTTCTGAATTGCTCTAAAAGTATTTTCTGGTCATTTTATTAACAAAACAATGCCTCAAATACATTAAAGTTAGATGAAGGTAATAAAACTGGTAGGCAACATTTAAATGTAAAGAGGGCATGGATAATTGAAAGAGCATGTAGCTTGAAAATTCCGTAAATAAGAAAGAAATTAACTGAAATGGAATGAGTTTTGTCTCATTATTAATGGAAGGCTCCCTCATAAGAGAAATAAATCATCCAGTGCTGGACTAGAAAATGAATTAAGCTCCCAATACACTTGGAGCTTTATAATAACTGAGCTTTCATGGACTGTAACTGGCGCCTAATAAAGAGTTGTGTGATACATGGTTAAATATGCCCCTAAAGAACAGTGGTTCAAATGCAGAACAACTCCAGCAGAGTTGCTTTGAATGTGCCCTGGCACATCTGTATACAGATAATTCAGCCTGTAAAGAGAACTTTTCCTTGCTGAGGGTTATCCTGCCCCTGGACAAGAATGAGCATACCCAGGACCTTTTCTGCTGCTGCTAGACTGAATTATGCCAGAGCAGGAGATGGTTGAGCATGGAAGGGATCTCCTGAGAGCACCAGGTCCAACCTGTCTGCTCAGGCAGGGCCAGCCACTTTGTCCACCTTATGATCACATCTCTTTAAATTTCCTACTAATTGTTTTAATACTGCAGGAACTGACTTGTGAAGAGTGTGCCATCAGACGTTTCAGAAAGTACATTAAAATATACAAACAAATTTTTTTGTATGAGATGATAGTAATGTACTGTTCCTCTTGTTACTTTATTCAGAGCTGGAAAAGGTGTCAGCACTGCACTTTGCAGTACAAGCCTTCAAGTCTTCACTCATGAAACCCTATAACTTTTTTCATTAATGGCTCTAAACAGCGAGGAAAAAATGCACTTTGCATATATTGCACCAGTAGCTGTAAATCCACTCAACAGTTCACCAGTTAGTGTGAACACTTGTTACTCGTGTATGTGAAGAAACACATGGAAATAACAACAAAGCACTGCAAAAGCTTCCCTCTGTCACACTGTTGTCATCCTGAATGCATTTGGGTTTTGTTTAAATGCTTTGGGGTTTTTTGGTTTTTTTTATGAGGAAGTTGGAGAATGATAGGAAGAAACTGTAATTCTGTATTCACATTGTTTGAACTTATTTTTATATGTTCATAAACTTCTGGTTAATGTAACTGAGTTAATTGTCTGCTTCATGCAGTCCCTGGTGACCTGGGATGGTGACAAACTGGTCTGTGTTCAGAAAGGTGAGAAGAACAACAGGGGCTGGAAGCACTGGATTGAAGGAGACATCCTGCATCTGGTAAGGGCTGCTCCACAGATCCGCAGCACATCACTGAGGCTGCAGCACAGGCTCAGGTTTTCCATTTCAAAGGATTTGGGGTTTTTTCTAGTTAGAAAGGTCTTTAGACAGTTCTGATCTCTGAACTCAAAGGAAATTTCTCCTCTGTTTCAACTCAGGAATGCTCAATTTTTGTCCACCTGCTACCAATTAAGTCATAACCCTGCAGTGGTTTTTTTGCTCCAGTCCATTTCCCTCCAGCTCTCAACCCTTCCTGTTACCTTGCACCTCTAACATAAATATTCTTGTTCTTATACAATCACTGGTAAGAAAAAAAAAAAAAAAAAAAAAAAAAAAAAAAAAAAAAAAAAAAAAAAAAAAAAAAAAAACCACCAAAAACAAAAACCCCAATCAGATTACAAGATAGATGTTATTGGTTTTTTTCTGAACAAAGCAATACGAAATTTTAGCACATTGTGCCGTAATACAGATCAGAAACTCCTGGATATTTAAGAGGATCCCACAAAAAAAACCTATACTGCAGTTATTTTTTCTTAGTTCAATAATAAATTCAAACACCTAAAGTAGCAAGCTGTAGCCTGAAGACAGATGTGGTGAATCCAAGAGAGGCCAGAAAAGCCTGAGCAGGAAATCAGCAATCAGTGATGTGCAGAAAGATTTCAAACTAACAGTATTGTAGAATCACAGAATCATTAATGTTGGAACAGACTTCCAAGATCACAAAGTCCCAACTTTGACTGAACAACACCATGTCCATTAACCCACATCACAAAGTGCCACATCTACTCATTTTTGGAACATTTCCCATCATGATAATGATTGCAGAGTTTCCTGGGAAAGCAATCAGAAAATGGGCATGATAATTCTGGGTGGCACAGTAGGTGGATGGAGAGAGATTCTTAAGAAAAGCCCACTGTTCTCTCCTAAGCTTTGCTGAGAGCTATCTGCTCCTTCACAGGTTTGCTTTACTGGTGTGGGCAGTCACAGTGGGGCACATCTTCTGCCTGAAAGGGCAAAGACAGGAATTCAAAACCAAAAAGGGCCACCCAACTAAAATCACCTGTCCAGTGCACCTCTCCAGCTGTCTGAACACACATCCAAAAGCTGACCTAAAATGTTCTACGTGCTGGCACCAAGATTTGCACTGAGGCTGGTGGAAATAAAGCCAAGCAGATCCTTACAGCAGTCTTCAGAAAGCATCCTGCAGAACTGGCCCTTTGCTGGCCACCTTTTTCAGTCCCTTCAAAGCCCTGTGTGGCACAGGAATGCTGGCTGATGGCACCAGCCAAACTGGCTGCACTGCAATGTGCCAGCCTTTAAGGGGCCATTGCAGCCCTGGGCAGCAATGCTGCATTGTTCTGGCCCCTAAGAAGCAGCTGGGCACACCTCTGAAGCAAATCAGCTTTTGAAAGCATTCCTCTTTTTTTGTTTATTTCCTTGTTTCAGTGCATCTCATGAATTCTGAGGCAACATGAATTATAAACTATTACAGTATACTGTTTTAATAACAGAACATGAAAAAGTCTTGAATTAAAGCAAAATTTTAATGCACTGTTCATGTTTATTCTTCTTAGAATTCAATTCATGTTTCAAAAACTAATTACTGCAACATGAATTAGTTTGGTTACATATAATGCACTTTTCTTACTGTTCTCTATTTCATAAGAATAAGTTTTTAATGCAGTGGCTCAGCTGTAGCAATTTCTGGTGGGATCTGATATATATGTGAAAAAAACTTCTACCACTATATACTTACTAATTGTTTTAATACTGCAGGAACTGACATGTGAAGACCAGGTGTGCCATCAGACATTTAAGAAGAAGAACTAAAATGGAGCAGAAAGCCTCCCAGATTTTCATCAAAATGTTATGCTGTTATGTTTTGTCTAAAAAGAAGAATGAAGCCAGATTTTCATTCCTTTGACACTTCTATGTGAAGATATTATGTGCCTGTTTATGGAAACAAACACATTTTACAGAAATAACATCAAACAGTTATAAACTTCATAAATTCCTTTGCCTTTCGGTCTAGAGTTAAATAAAAGTAATTGTCTTTCAAATTATGTTTCCCTCCATCTTTATAATGATTTCCAGAGGAATGTCCATTAGCAACAAGGCTGAAAATTAACAGTCACAATTATTTCAGTCACAGTCTATGTCTCCACAGTGCTGGATTATCATAATGTCTCTGGGTGACTGAGTAACACTGGATATTCACTGGACTGTTTCTATTTAATTTAGTGCTGGATCACTAAGTGCACAGTTTCAGGCAACAGAATGCCTCACTGAGCACAATACATGTCCTTCCACATCAGGACTGTTCCCTTGGATTTGGCCCAGGTCTAAAGCTGCTGCTGGTTATCACCGGATCAATATCTCACGGCCTTTGTGAAGTGCTGCAGCTCCTCAGTACAATCCTAACATGGATCAATGACAATGCTGTAACTTCCAGTTAGAACTGGCAGCCTAATAACCATCCCAGTGGAGAAATCTGCTGTTTGAAGCAAACCCTGCATTGAAGAGTTGCTCCATGGTGTGAAAACTAAGGCACACTTAGGACTGTGAGAGGGAAACTGCAGTGTATACACAGTCTGCATGTACCCTGTGCAGAAAGAGTGCCCAGCATGCTGCAATCTTCACCTTGTACCACCTTTCAGAGACTGTAAAAAGAAAAATCTTTTCCATGCAATTCTTCTCAGTTTTATTCAGGGTTTTTCAAAAGAATTCATGTTCTTTGCTAAAGGCAAGTTTAAGTTAACCGTGGATGATGAACACTACTTCAGCAGATAGAAACTTTTATTATTCAACAAAATGTGTGCACATCTTCCCCAGAAGAGCTTGTATGCCCAAAAGCTCATCTGCTTTTTCCAATGACATGAATTATTCTAATAAAATACACTGTCTTTCCTACAACCTTGCCTTTCAGATATAAAAACTTTCACATCAGCTTTAGCACTGTTAAGTTCTCTCTTGTCCAGAAGCCCCCATCCTCTGTATAGTATGGGAGGAGTGAAAATCCACTGAACAGATCAGTGGATCAGTAGAAGTACAGAAAATATGTGAAAAAGCTTTGGCAGAAATGGAGGAGCATATGCTTTCTCCTCATCTCCACCTGCTCCTCAGCCCACTCACTGTCAATAGCTCAGGATAGGGAAGGAGGGAGTCCTTCAGCTGACAACTAGGTTACATCTGCAAAAATCTGATTAATGTACCACCAATACTTCTATGCCATGGCCATTATCCTGGTTCCAGCTGGGTTTGAGCTAATTTTCATTTTAGTAGCTAGTACAGAGCTGTGTTTTGGATTTAGCAAGAGAATAATGCTGACATCACACTGATGGTTTAGTTGTTGCTAACTAGTGCTTCCTCTAAATCAAGGACTCCAGTTTCCCTGTTTTGCCTGTGAGGAGGTGCCCAACAGGCTGGGAGGGAGCAGAACCAGGACAGCTGACCCAAACTGGCCAGAGGGATATTCCACACCTTAGAATATCATGCTGAGCATATAAAGCTGCAAGAAGGAAGGGAGAAACTGCTGTGTTTGGGATGGCATTGCCCAGTAATTCCTTGGTCTTCCCAAGGAGCTGTTACACAAGATGGACCCCACTGTCCTGGACACGGCTGAACACCCACCTGGGAAGTGGAGAATGAACTCCTTGTTCTGCTTTGCTTGTGCAGGCAGCTTTTTCTTCACCCATTAAACTGTCATTAGCCAGCCCTGGAGTTTTTTCAGGGATTGCACTATGCTGCTTAGTTGCTGGCTGGAAATAAATCACAACAGGCATAGAAGTGCATATGTCAGGATATTTTTATGAATTGGACTTTGCTTCTCCTGATAAAAGTTGACTTGGTATCAAACTTCCTCTGTACATTGCCTGGGCAATGCTTTCGTGTTAGCTTGCACAGAAGAAACTGCACTTGGAGTTAGTAAACTCCTTATTTTTTTCTGATTCAGCCCTGACCTGGACATTTCAGTAGAAATTTATTTAATTCACCGTTCTAAGTCCCTGCTAGTTACAAGGATAAAAAATTACCACAGCTCATTAAGCTTTCAAAATATTATCAGAATGTAATCACTAGGAAACAAAATGTGCATGTTTTAATCAGTGACATTTCTCCTGGTTTGTTCTTGCCAGGAGTAACCCTGTTTGTAAATTCACACCAAATCATAAATCCAAAGAAAACCTTTCATATATCACAAGGAACTACCATCAATTCACTAATGATGAGTCTGAAGAGGGAAAACAAACATTCTTCAACTGGTTTCTTATTATGCTCACTAATTCTGTCTAATGGTTATGGTTCAGAAGTAAAGGAAGCAGGCAATTGAGCACAAGTAGACTTTGATTAGGAGGAAACTGGATCTGACCCTATTTTTTTTGCCTAGCTCGAAAATGAAAATTTCAGAATTTTTAACAAGAAGTGAGGAAATATGCAAGATTTCTACTATCCAAAACAAGATTTTATTTTTGCACAGACTGATACACAAGAACTTACAACTGCACGCACAGCACTGGAGACAGAGGAGATACTCTTTCTGTTGCATTATAATTCCTTTCAAAGTTATCCTTGTTTGTATCATATTTGTGATGTTGGGCTGGTCTCTAAGCTGTTCAGAGTCCCTTATCTCCTTGTCAGCAGATTAAATACTTGTGCTGGAGGAACAGACCTTGCTGGTAAATCAAAGAATGTTCATTCACATTTTTTCAGCCCTGTGGCACACAGTGCTGTCTCAGATGTTTTGAAGGATTACCATTTGCATGGATTCTTTTCCTCACAGAGAATATTGCTCAAATACAGCCCCAGGAAGGGAATTTATCAGCAACCTCCTGATCCAATGTAGTGGGTTGACCCTGGATGGATTCTTGGAACCCACCAGAGCCTCTCTCACTCCCCTCTGCAGCTGCACAGGGGAGAGAAAAAACAACAAAGGGTTCATGGGCTGAGATAAAGACTGGGAGAGAGATCCCTCACCAGACACCATCATGGGCAAAACAGGCTCTAATTAGAGATATTAATTGACTTTATTGCTAACAAAACAGAGCAGGACAATGATAAGCAAAACTTCTTCAAGATCTTCAAAACACCTTCCTCCCACCCCTCCCTGCTCTACCTGCTGCCCCCAATGGTGCAAGGAGACAGAGATGAGCTGCAGGTGGATCTCTATGGGCTGTGGGTGGATCTCCATGAGCTGCAGGTGGATCCCTGCCTTCCTCATGCCCTCCATGGGCTGCAGGTGGATCTCCATGGGCTATGGGTGGATCCCTGCCTCTCCCATGCCTCCATGGGCTGCAGGTGGATCCCTGCCTCTCCCATGCTTTAATGGGCTGCGGGTGGATCTCCACGGGCTGTGGGTGGATCTCCATGGGCTGTGGGTGGATCTCCATGGGCTGCAGGTGGATCTCCATGGGCTGTGGGTGGATCTCTGAGAGCTGCAGGTGGATCCCTGCCTCTCCCATGCTTTCATGGGCTGCAGGTGGATCTCCACGGGCTGCAGGTGGATCTCCATGGGCTGTGGGTGGATCCAGCAGCTGCTCACAGAAGCCACCCCTGGAGCTCCACCCTGCTAAAGCTTGGCCATGCAAACCCAATAAATCCAGAATAGAAAAGTCTGAGCAATTCAAAATCACTTCCTCATAAGTGCAGTACTGGGGAAAGAATCAGTACCATTACCTGTCACTGGGCTTTTCAAATGACAATGACAAAGCTGTGTGGAAAAAATGTTTATGGTGGAATTTCTAAAAAACCTCTGCATTGAGCCAACTGGCTCTGCATTGAGCCAATTTCTCTTCCAGAAAGTTAAGCGTTTTATTGCCAACTGCTAAAAGAAGAGAGCAACACTGCAGGCAGAGGCTGTAGAATAATGTTGTCAATGTTCCTGGCAGTTGTATTCTGTGGCAAAGCCCTACAGTGCTGCCTTCCTCTGCAGCTCCGGACGGTCACAGACATGCACAGAATGCCTTCTGAATTTGCCATAGATATCCTGGATGCTCTGCTGCTGTGCTGCTTGTGAAAGATATTCCACTGCCATCTGGCAAGAAGTCTTAAGTTTTTAAATCAGCATTTACTTCAAGATCTGATGGAGACAAAATTAAACAAAAAAATGTTGCTTAGTAAGATTTATTTGTATTCTTTTAAGCAAGGGTATATATTTTTCTTTAGTGGGGAGAGATTGATAGAAATTATTTCTTTAGCAAGTTTTTATTCCACTAGAAGACATTATTTTCTTTAATTTGTGACTGATTTAAAGGTCAGAGGTTGCAGATACTTTAATTTCAGCTTGCTGATTACTTTCTGTGCAGATTGTGAGGATTAGAGGAAATCATTTTATGAAAATGAGATTTAAAATAATACTAATGAGACAAGCTTTTCAATAGCTGCAAAAATTTTGTCAGTTATTCTCTAAATAGCACATTTGCTTTAATTATATCTCACACTGCACTGCTTCAGTCACCATTAAATAGAAATGGGAATGCAATAGATGACAGTAGATATTCCAGAGTTCTTCAGGGTGGAGGAATCCTTGGAAAGATGAGGAGCTTTGTCTTATGTGAGAGCAAACATGGCTTCACTTGGAGAAAGACTATAAACATGGAAGGAATAGGGGCACACTCTCCTCCAGGCTCCAGGAGAGGAAAAGATCGACAGGACAAGAAGGAGCAGTGTTGTGTTGTGCTTTTCACGCTCTTAGTTATGCTAAGTTGTATATTGTAAGTTGGTTTGTTCCATTCGCCCCTGTGGTTGTGTAATGGTTCTACCCAGGTTGTCTCCTCCCCAGCAATCCTTGTCAGTCTCCCTGTCCCCTCCCCTGTCAGCCCAGTTGACATTGTATC